CACTCTCACACTATTGTACTCGCATGTAATATAGTACAAATGTATCTAAATCCTCTCTCACAGCAGTAAGAAATAAGATTAATGCAACTGAACTCACCATTTAAAATGTGATTTAAGCCAGAATGCAATACAGAATGCATCTTCACATGCATTTATACGTCTTTTCTAACGCACATTAAATTTAGTACTTCAAATGTGAGGTAGTAAATTAATGCACATTAGGCTCAGCTAATGTGCAGTAGCACATTTACATGCTTTTTAGTGATGCTCAGTGTGTAGTAATCTACTTTACTGCACATTAGTGTAAAGTCATATTTTTTAGGTGACACTTCCATGTGCAGTAAAATATTTTACTGGGCATTAAAGTGCACATGTAGACATGTCCACTTTTCAGTATTTTTCTATCTGTTCAAGTTTTAAAATGGCCTACCACGTTAGAATTTGAATGGCTTTTTGCCCTTCCCTTTCCATTCAGCAACTAAATTTGTTATTTGCCTTAAACACAACAAAACTATTTCCTTTCTTTAAACAGCTGTTGCAAAATCTTATTTGTGCCATTTTAGCTTGACACTAACATCACTGTTAGGCAAAAATGATGTTATTATAGAAATTCACAGGAAATAAAGGGAACTATATGGGACGCAGACCAAGCCATAGTTACTTATTACATCAGTTGGCACATTTTTTTTTGGCTGACTGCTGTATTAATTACTTCCTTAATCCATGAGCAATGTCACACCAAATGCTGCTAAAGAAGAGAGCTAGGTTTAGTGTAAATTACCCTTTTAATTACTTTCCTGACATCATAGGTAGTTCTGCTTCCTCCAATAATTAAACCTACATTTTGATATTTCTTCAAATTAAGCTTGTCCATGACAACATCCTTTAGTACCAAAAAGAAAATTTATAAATCTATATTATACTCCCTTAAACTAGGCTGAGCTTTTTTAAGGAGGCAGGTAAATTTCATTGACATTCTGGTAACTAGGAAAATGCAAGGAAAATTTATCTAAAGTTACTTTTACACATATTTTAATAATTTGATTCCCTGCATATGACATGACCATAATTCCTTAATTATCCTATCCTTACACTTTAGTAATCTAATAGAAATCAAATAATCTAACAGAAATCAAATAATCAATTTGTGAGCAAACATTTGCATCTTGGACCCAATTTAAAACAAAGCAGAATGTTTTTTAGTAGATGATTAAAAGTTGAAGGTGGAAGTGTTGAGCTTCTTTCACTAAGTAACAGACTGAAGATGACACAACTAACTTTCTTCTGCAAAATTTGGTTCAACTGGCACCTCTCTTGTGGCATAGCAAAAAGTTGCTCAGGAATTTCAAGCTTCTGGCAAACTGACATTGCAAATTGCTATAGTTCCCATTCCAAACTAGAGTGGATATTTGACTTATACAAAAAAACCCCCATCAAAACTATTTTATTCTAAAATGGAAGCATTAATACAAGGAATATTGGAACAACATTTTCAAACATGTTTTGTTTCAAAACATCAGCTACAAATGCGAACCAAAAAAAGGCCAACTGAGAATTTTGTCTAAAAATAAATAAATAAATGAAAGAAGATGTTTGCTAATAGAAAGTTAAATTTCAAAGAAACCCCAATTTCCAGTGGGAAAAATTGTTCATACAAAAGATGTTAGCCAGCTATATTAGAGCACCTAAATATTTACTTTTAAATAACCAAATATCTGTGGATGTGTGTTTTCAAAAACAGCTTCTGCATTCAAAAATTGTAGCTGGCTAGGATGAGCCTTCCAAATGGATTTCAGAGAACACTTGCTGGTATCACAGCTGGACTTATTTTGGTCAGCTTGCACATCTTTATTTCTGTGATACAATACTAAGGGATTAAGACTCTGACTTTCAATTTGGGTTGTTCAAGTAGTCAGTGACTGGCATAATGCCACCAACCAGTTCTGATTCAGCACTTTGAATCTGTCTATTTAAAAGTATGGACAAATGTACATTTGTAACAACTTCAAAGAGGGAGGGGAAGCTGCTGCTATTGCTCAGGAGTGTGCAGCAGCTGCCCTGCTCTGTTACACATGATGAGCCTGTAATGATGCAAGTGACCAAACTCTTCCCAACTCTGACCATGGGTGAAGCCAGGTTCAAGCTGGAGTGGTTTTGCTACATTTGAATCACTACAGGCTTATTCACATGTATGGAGTTGCAACATAACCACTTCTGAGCCTGTCTGAGCACAGCTCCCGCTCCCTTTTTAAGTGTCAAATGTCTGTTTGTCCATACCTCAAGAGCTATATAAGCGGGTCTGTAATATTATCCTGGCATTGTAGAGTAGGAAACTGAGGCAAAGGGATAGAAAATGACTTGTTTGTCACTGATCAGGTCAGAGCCAGACATGGAACCAGGGGAGAGCCCATCTCATTCTGGGTTAATTCTTAGTCATGACATTCCATTTAGTCTCTATACATCAGCAGAACAAGATTAAAAGACATTTATGCTCTGTGAGTGAGCATAATGTACTCCGGGAGCTCACTCTGAGAGCTGCTCTAATTAAAGCATGGAGCATCTCATGTATCAGCATCCCTGCACTTCAAAAGAACAGTGGTGGCGCTTTATCTAAAGCTCAAAAGTTTCTTTGCCCACCTTCTGTGATACTAAGTTTTGTGGGTTGCTGATTGTGGTTAAAAACAAACAAGCTTTAGATGAAGCGCCCCTGCCACCATTCTGAAACATGGGGGACACTGATGCACGAGATGCTGGAAAGTGGTAATTACCATGCTCCAGCCGACTCCATTAATCTCTCTATACATCAGCAGAACAAGATTAAATGGATACGTCTGTGGAGGTCACAATCCTTGGGTGTTTATACATGAACTCTGGGAGTGAGGGGTGGGCTCTTTAATTAGAGCTGCTCCAAGAATCACTCCAATTAAAACGTCTGGAATGTCTCATGCGTGAGCATCCCCATGCTTCAAAAATGGTGGTGGAGGTGCTCTACCTTAAGCTCGAAAGCTTCTTTGCCCACCTTTCCTGACACTCTAATTGTATCTGCTCTGATGCATTGTAATCATAGTGTGTCAGCAGCCTGGTTGCTCATGTACAAGCACCCGTTGTTCACATTCAGCTATTACTGGTGTGAAAAAACACCCAATGTTATGTCAGGAGCATGTGTTGTTACAGCTCTACAAGTGCAGAGGTGATGCGATTCATAAATGTATCTCCTATGACCCTACATTTATCCACTGGTCCTTTTCTAAACTCTGGTCCACTCCAGTATTCATTTTAAATTTCTGAAGACTTGCTTATTTGTTCATTTCAAGAGAATTACTACGATTTTTTTAAATCACAAGTAACAACCCTCAAAATCTGGGTTAGTGTCAGGGAAGGTGGGCAAAGAAGCAAGGAAAATGGTGTTGATTATCAGGTGCTCTAGAATCAGTTTTTTCCTCTTTAGAAAATTGAAGAGATCAGAAGTTATCAACAATTATTATTCAGAACTGACAAAATCCAAGAGTAAGCTTTTATGGTTCAGAGCAAATGAGAATTCCTGCTGGTATCTGGAGGAGGTGTTACTTAACTCAAGTATTTTTAGGCAGAGTAACGCTGCGCACATCAGGAAAGCAATGACAAAGCAGGATTACGGCTCTGCGCTGCATACAAATTTAATGGCAGATATTGGAAGGTATGAGAATCCTTATAATGCTGTATACATGAGGCTTCATGCTGAAATAATGCTTATAGTAAATTGCAACCATTCTGCTCAGCCCAGGAATTCAGAAAAAAGTTTTGATGGCTGTGAAAGCTTGGACAGTGTCTCTTGCACAAAAATGCAAGACAGTGGTTGTGGCAAGACAGGATTGTGGTGACAAGTCTGCCACAAGAAAAATCAACTCTCCGCTACAGCTGTAACCCATTAAGGCATAGAGAAAGTGGAGCTTGTGGCACCCAATACCAGACCCAGTCTTGCAGCCCCTTTCAACTCAGCCCAGTGGCAGGAGGCGGTGCGCAGCCCCAGCTCTGCCCACCTCCCACTACCCGGCTGAGCTCCATGGGGCTGGCAGAGCCCATCGGAGTGCAGCCCGGCGGCGGGAGGCAGGGAAAGCCAGGGCTGCGCTGCCTGCTGGGCAGAACTACATGGGGCTGCGGAGTGTAGCCCTGACTTTCCCCTGCCTCACACCACCTGGCTGCTGCTTCAAACCTTGAAACGTTTCAAAACATTTCGACTGGCCTCGTTTCGTTTCAAGGCTGTTTTGAAGTCCTCCGTTTCATTTCAATTTCACTGTTTTGAGCTTGAAACAAATCAAAACAGAGTCGAAATGAAACAGCCAGTGAAATTTCGCACAGCCTTATAAGATAGTACTGTCCTGAAAGTACTCTCTTATGCTGGTGTAATTTACCACGATTAAGCACATGTGTAGATGATGACCATGGGTGTATGTTGTACACTAGCTGGGGGCTAGACTCCTGCCTGTCGCCTAGCCCCACAGCTCCACACTTTCAGCACGCTCATGCCCCAGCTAGCTTCTCTGCCACCCAATGTCACCACCCTAAGCCTGGGGCTGATATCCTGACTCCCTCCCCCATGCCCCTTGCCAGCCTGGGCCTGCTTCACCCCAGTTCAAACTGCTGCTCTGCTCCAGCACGAAATTGCCGCTGTCCCAGGCCCAGGAGTAGTTTACTCTCACTTAAACTGCCTCAGAGTTTATTGCTTCGCAGTAACTGCACATGTGGACACAGCCAAATTAATCCCACTTACAATTTGTTTTATAAAAATAGAAAAGCACATGTAAACACGCTCTACTTCTTCATAGTTTCATTTTTTTTAATTACTAATTAGTCACTTCTGCCACAAGAGTTGTAGAGCCATATATTAAAATATTTTTTAAGTACTGACCAGGAATACATTAAATTCCAAGCAACATAAAAAGATATACAACTCCTAATCTACAATTCTGATGAAGTTCAATGCATGGGGGACTACATTCAGGGATTCTTTAGCATCTTACCTGGGGTTAGTGAGATTGTAACAGGATTTCCAAATCTGTAGCATGTGTTTACAGGTAAGAAGTGCTTCATCTGGGCCTCTACACAGGGATTCCAGTTTGACTTTTGTAAACAATAATCTAATAGAAAGAAGGATATTAGAAGAAAAAAAAAAAAAAAAATCAAGCAAAAACCATTATACTTAATTTGAGAGAACTAACACTGATTTGAAAACAAGCAGCAAGAACTTCCAATGCTTATACATGTAGAAAAACATTGGAGGAGAAACTGAACTGTTAATTTTATATTGCTAGGATTTGACTATTTTTGTCCACATACCACCTTACATGGTCACAAACACCTCATGCACAGAGATCATTTTAATATGAGCTCTACTGGTAGAGTAATTGATGGTATGATACAAATTTGCTGTTGTTCTTTTCATTTTCTGTTAGAGAAGATGCATGTAGTTAATTAAATGATCTTCACCGAAGTTTGGATTAATGGAGATCTTGTTCTGACACAGGAGACATTCTTCAGTCAAACAGTATATACACTTGTTCTCACAGGTTCTTAATACATTCATAAAATTAAAAGGCTCCCTACAGTAACAGAGCCATTATTTGATCCCAAAGAACACAGTCTACATTCTAGGTTACATTCTAAAGACATAGATGTCAACATGTGGGAGCTGTGTGGGACAAAATACGATACACTACTGTAAACCTGTCTTCAGGAACTCTTTCTTATTCTTGATAAAAAGTTTGGGTCTTTTTTTGTGATCCACAACTCAAGGTTGAAATACTTGACAGCAGAATATATTTTCTTGTAATATGCTCTATCATCAGATCAATCTTGGGAAACCAGTACCTTCAGTGGTAAAATTTGATAGCTATTCTTCATAGGGTAGTAACTACGATGGTTAAATGACTCAAACTAGTAGTATTCTCATCTTAATAATACTATGTATTAATACAATATTTTGATGGCAGCCATAACCTCTTTTGTTGGCTATAAGCAACAAAGCAGGCACATTCATCTACAGCTGGGGTCAGCAACCTACAGCTCAGAGAGATTTGACCTGGCCCACCAAAATACCATGTGGTCCATGGCAGCATTCGGCAAGGGGGAGACCCATTGGCAAAGGAAGCAGCAGCCCTAGGGCCAAGCTACATTAATTTGACCTGCTGTCAGTAAAGAACAATGCCAACCCCTGATCTACGGAAGTTGTGAAAACAGGACATTACTGAGAAGTGAACAATATATAATGATGTTGAATAAAACCAAAAGGGAAAGTGAAAAGGGCTACTTGTTTTTGAAAAGACATGAAAGTACTGTTGCACAGACAGTGTACCTATTACTTTTATTTACTCTTCCGCTCCACACATCATAAGCACCAATAAGTGACAATTCTAAAAGCTGAGCTGTAACTCATTCTGGTAAGAACAATTACACAAGTCTATATGGAATACCTAGTTGTAACAATGAACAGTACATAAAAAACAAAAACCAAAAATTTAACTATCAGGGAAAAATCAAATGACCATGTTAGAAAGGACACCATCAGAGTAAAGATGCTAGCCTTGGGGTGGAGGGGGAGGGAATATTAAGAGTAACAAGAAAAACCTTGCTCCATTTCACATTATGTTGCCAAGAATGGAGACACTAAATTTGAGTTTGTATTTCAATTTAAAACTGTAAGCAAATTCAAAATGGCACCTTTAGCAACTTGAGAACAGTGCATGAATCATCATGGATCATTAGCTATATACAGTAGTATCTATAATGAGCCTTTAAAAATGAATCCCATTTCAAAGCTGAACTAATAACTGCAAAACATATCAAGTACTTAGGTCTTGGCTTCTCCATTCTTCAGACAGACCCATTAGTAAATTCTTCTGCAGAGAAAGTGAATGGGATAAACTTCCTGGATAATTTAAAACACAGTCAGTCACTCTCAACCTTTTTAGGCTTGAGACACCCCTCAGAAAATGCCATTTCCTAGTTTTCAATCATTTTTTGACTACAGAAAAACTAACAGAGCATTTTTTCTGTGGCAAACAACTCAAACCACAACAGAGCAGAATGCTTGTGACACTGTGGATTCCTATTTGAAATCTGGAGTCTATTCTGTGAATCATGTTTGGGTGTTGGCACACATAAGCACTGATACTACTGTATGCTATCCGTAAAAGGATCTCACAACACCCTGGTTGAAAACTATTAGTTTAAAAAGATAAGATCTTAGTTTAATGGTGTAGATCAATGGGGTTCAACCTTCATCTCAGGTATACCACAAGTTAACCCTGCACTGTCCCCAAGTGCCATTGATCCTCTTCCTCTATCCCATTTCCTGGCCTACTTCCTGCCCTACATGCTGTTGTCCCCTTCCTGATATGCCATGTGTCACCCCAGCAGCTGCCTGTGCCACAGGTTTGCCACTGCTGGTATAAACATTGCCAGAAGTTCCAAACACCTGGAAACAAGTCATGTAAATATTACCATATTTACTCTAATACAAGACAAGGTTTTCACCTCCCATTTAATGCACGAAAAAGAAGCCTCTGTCTCAGATTAGAGTACAAGTAAAGGGTAAAAGGGAAGGGCACAAGCAGTTCCTGCCATTCTAACTCCTCCCCTGATCTGTCAGATCCACAACAGCCACCTGCACCTCCATCACTTGCCTTTTCCCCACATCCATTTACCTGCTGCAGCACTGGCCCCACTCTGGCGCAAGGAGGGGGAGGGAACAGCAGGCTGCAGGGGGCTGGCATGGGGGAGGCACAAGCCTAACCCTAATGGTTAAAATCTACATTTAGAAAATGATAACAAATTTATAATTTTCCATGTATACCATCTAATTATGGGAGTGTGGGGGTCCATCAAGTTCAAAGTTATCTTAGATTCACGTAAATACCATAAATTAGGAATTAAATCTCAGATTTAATCAGTTACACTGCTACATATAATGATAGGAAGCAGGAAAGAATACAAATAAAGCAACTATCATAACATTAAAATGGAAGAATCAAAGACCATTAATTCAATTACTAATTTAGTCACCCCAAGTTACAAATTAATGCCTGGTAGTCAGGGAGGGGAGATGGATTTGCAATTTTTTTTACCCTGAATACAGGCTTCAAAGTTGTAAACACCAACTGCAAACCATCAAAAGTTCTTTCCCCCAAGATTGAATGGCTCAAGAGGACAGAATAACTAAAACTTTAGGGATGTTTACTGAGACCCAGATTGAGGAAACCAGCTACAGTCCTCACTGGATGAATTCTTGATTAAGTTTCAGAGAAGAGGGACCTGTAGATCAAAGCAAGGTTTAGGTAAATGAGGTGGCATATGTATTTTATAAAAGTATCTTATGGCACCACAGAGTGGCATAACATTCTAGGTGGAAAAAAAGCACTGGTCTTTTCTGCTAGTGGAAAGAGAAAGTTAAAGAAATGGAGAGAGAGGGAAGAATAGAAGCACCCAGGAAAATGTGAAAAAAACATTTAGAAGGTAAAAAGTAGGACTATTTTAACTGCTCCTTTACACACCGTCCCAAGATGCAATGCCGGATGCAATGCATCTGAGGGTGCTGAGGAAACTGGCTGATGTGACTGCAGAGCTGCTAGCCATTATCTATGAAAAATCATGGCAAACGGTGGAGGTCCCAGATAACTGGAAAAGGGCATATACATAGTGCCCATTTTTAAGAAAGGGAAGAAGGAGGATACAGGGAACTACAGACTGGTCAGCTTTACCTCAATTCCCAGAAAAATAATTAAGCAGGTCCTCAAAGAATCCATTTCAAAGCACTTGGAGAAGAAAGTAATCAGGAACAGTCAGCATGGGTTCACCAAGGGCAAGTCATGCCTGACCAACTGGATTGCCTTCCATGATGAGATAAATGGCTCTGTGAATGCCGGAAAAGCAGCAAATGTAATATACCTCGACTTTAGTAAGGCTTTTGATAGCATCCTACACCATTCCTGCAAGCAAGCTGAGGTAGTATGTGTTGGATGAATGGATTTTAAGGTATACAGAAAGCTGGCTGGATTGTCAAGGTCAATGGGTAGTAATCAAGGGCTCAATGTCTAGCTAGCAACCAGTACCAAGTAAAGTTCCCAAGGGGTTGGTCCTGGGGCCAGTTTTGTTCAATATCTTCATTAATGATCTGGAATATGGGACGGACTGCACCCTCAGCAATGCTGCAGATGACACCAAGCTGGGGAGTGTAGTAGATACACTGGAGAGTAGGGCTAAGAGTCAGAGTGACCTAGACAAATTTGTGGACTGGGCCAAAAGGAATCTCATGCGGTTCAACAAGGACAAGTGCAAAGTCCTGCATTTAGGATGAAACAATCCCATGCATTGCTATAGCTTGGGGACCAACTGGCTAAGCAGCAGCTCTGCAGAAAAGGACCTGGGGGTTATAGTAGACTACAAACTGGATACGAGTCAGTAGTTTGTCCTTGTTGCCAAGAAGGCTAACAGCATACTAGGCTGCATTTGTAGCAGCGTTGCCAGCAGATCAAGGAAAGTAATCATTCTGCTCTACTCTGCACTAGGGCGGCCACATCTGGAGTACTCTGTCCAGTTTTGGGCCCTCCACTATAGAAAGGGTGTGGACAAGTTGAAGAGAGTCCAGTGGAGAGCAATGGAAAAGGTTCAGCAGCTGGGGCACGTGACTTCTGAGGAGAGGCTGAGGGAACTGGGCTTATTTAGTCTAGAGAAGAGAAAACTGAGGCGTGATTTAATAGCAGGCTTTAGCTACCTGAAGGGTGGTTCCAAAGAGGATGGAGCTAGACTGTTCTTAGTGGTGACAGATAACGGAACAAGGACCAATGATCCTTGCTTAGGGAGGTTTAAGTTAGATATTAGGAAACTCTCTCACTAGGAGGATGGTGAAGCACTGGAACAGATTACCTACGCAGGTGGTGGAATCTCCATCCTTGGAGGTTTTTAAGACCTGGCTTGACAAAGCCTTGGCTAGAATGATCTAATTGGGGATGGTCCTGCTTTGAGCAGGGGGTTGGACTAGATGACCTCCTGAGGTCTTTTCCAACCCTAATTTTCTATGATTCCAAGATATCCTTTAAGCAACGTTTTTCCAATGGTACACTGAAACCAGATCCGCCTCAGT